CATAACTTAAATGTAGTGCGCCGAGGTGTCCGAAAGCCCGAATAAAAAGGGAAACATGCGCATAACAGTTGTCACAATCGTAAAATTGGTTGTAAAAATTGCATACGGGGGCGAACGCTTTAAGGCGGGCGATGGGGGTGGGGTGCATGGTAAGGCAACGTTTTCGCATTATGTGGCAGGCAATCTGCGACGATTGCACAATGAGTTTACTACGGCGATATAGAGATGCAAGCACAATAAAAAGAACATCAGCGCACATCTGCACGCAGTTTGTCTTAAAAGTGCAATAAAGCATGCAAGCAACCGAGGCATTAAATTCCAATTTCGAAAACACGAAAAGGGCGTTTTTGGCAGATTATCGAACACAAGCAGATATGAGTACACTTTTGTATGTATATATTGGCTCAGTAGACGTGCATTAGCCCAGCTTTGAGCACGTCAATGTAACCTAATAAGGCAATTCAGCTGGGACATTTCGCCCAAATGCAGCAAGTCGCATAAAATTGACACTGCCGGGATTTCTGCAAGGACTGCAACCTGATTGGTCATCTGCAGGACTAAATGAAATGGGTAGATGCTAGGACGCCCAGCAACGCGTTGACTCTCCCGTATGCTCGCAAAACGCACACATACGCGCGTGCGGCTGTGCCTTTTTCTGCGCGCGCGTGCGTGCGCTCAAAGAGGAGTAGGCTAGCATCCGCGCAGGAGGAGATACTTGCATCTCCCCCGAATAAACTGATGCAAAGGCGAATCAGTAAAAGTGACAAATTGAATATTAACTGTTGGGAAGGGGTCTTACCAAGGACGCGGAGCTACTGCCCCCCATCATGCATCCCTGGCTGCGATAGACGCGACCGCGTGTTCCATTTGTCACCAAGACAGCAAAAAGCAGAAGAAGAGCGGCCAAAAAGACGGTGCTGCAGTTTATAATCAGTTCCGTGATGCGCAGGTAGGACATCCTAAAAATGGCAGGAACAGATGGGTCAAAAGGCAGGCATGGTGTTGGAAACACAAAGAACCAGTTTGCTCAGTAGGAAGTGCATGCAAGCTAGAAGGAATAGCAAGGCATACTTTTAAGCAGCATGTGCATGTACATGGCATAAATTAAGCATAAGGCTACCCAATGAAGCTGATGGAATAGGATAGATAAGGCTGTGATATCAAAGCCTTTAAACAACTGTGTAATGCCGTAAAATGCATTGGATCTGAACAAAATACGAAGGTTGCATGTAAGGGCAAACGGAAAAATGTAGACTTAAGAAAGACTCTGTCAGCCAGCATTATTATTCGGATTCATAAATCTTAACGTTACAAAAATGAATACGGGTTACTCGGTAGTACGTTAGCAGACTTCGTAAAGAAATACTTACATCATAAGCGCTCATTAGGTAGATTAACATTAGATGCATGGTACGCACAAAATCGCTTTACCCATGCCTACTTCTACATCGACATTCCTTTGAAAAGTTCTTAGATGGGAGAATTTCGCTTTTGTGGGAAACCCTGGGGCCTGTACTTTTCGGACAAGCTCGTGTATTTGGTGCGCGCAAATGTCATAAAGTATGTCAGCTACAGCGCTTATTCTTCGCACAAACCAACTGACCCGTTCGAACAGCGGCTGGGGCCTGGGAATAGACAGTGAGGTCGAAAGTTCAGCACACTTTTCTCACTATGAATGATTTGATGCGCTTAAAGCCATAGCTTATATGTTTGCCAACTGATGAGATAACCCGAATTGCACGGTCAGTCCAATGAGTATTTGTGCGGAGAG